GATGCTGCAATGTCAGATATATAGAGTGACTGCTGGAATAGAACACTGGTGTCTTCGATCGACTAGTCCCGAGGTAGCTCGACTAAGATGATCCAAAATGTAAGAACGACAAGTCATCTGCAGTGAAACCAAGAAGCAGAAACAATATAAGAAATCATAATTATATAGGAGAAAAAAAAATGAATATAAGAAGCAGAACATAATTATACGAAGTAAAAATGTTGGATGAGTTTCAGAAAACAAACAATTGGCTTCGTCCGGGTTCGAACTGGAGACTTTCAGTGTGTTAGATGAACGTGATAACCAACTACACCACAAAACCATTTTGATTGTTTTGTTCAATTTATATATTTTCTCTTATTGAAATCTATATTTGATGGGATCAAGAAACAAAGTGAAACTAATGGCACAAAAATGCAATCAGTTTTATGATCAATTTCTCTTCACTTATGAGTGCGAGGTTTTAAATTGGATTCACGTCAAAAGTGAATTTGAATCACATTATTGCTAACCGATTGTGAGATTTAAAGTATCTCCAAATGAGGTGTCAAGTTTTAAACATCAAAATGATATTTGATGGCTTATGTTGAATTTGACATTTTGTAAAATATTTTGTTTCATCCCATATGTTAAATAATAATGTCATTTAATACATGTTTTTTATCTTTTTGTGGGGCCCAATGATTGAGGCAAAACAATCACATACTTGACAAACAGGGAAATGGATCATCTTTGGATCCCTTCCACCTAATCCTCCTCATCAAACATTCCAGGTCCTTGAAATTTAATTCAACGGCTAAAAGCTAAAAATAACTTTAGCCGTTTGATCAAATTTTAAGGACCCGAATTATTTGATAGGGAGGATTAGGTGGAAGGGATCTGAAGAATATCCCTTTTCGACAAACACAACAATATTTATCAAATATTATATTAATCTATTAATAAACATTTAATAAATTTGATATTTACTACTGTCAAATTTGACAGCAAAAGGCTTTGCATTCAATTGACTCAGCGCCACGTAAGAAATTAAAAGCTCGGTTGGAGAAAGTTTGCTGCATTTTTTACTGTTGTATGTCTTCGTAGCAATTTTGACATCTCGTTTGTTTAAAAAAAATGCAATCAGTTTTTTTTTTTTTCTAAAATAAAAGAAATAAAATGCAAAAATAAAAACCACACAAGTGTCAAGTGTGTGTGCTTGAGCTTGAATTTCGCACGTCCGCGCTCTCTCTCTCTCTCTCTCTCAAATTCCAACCCCATTTTCTTCTCACCATCTTCTCCCATTTTTCCTCGGTTCAGATTTTGCGGTCCCCCATCTCTCAACACCCCACCCAAACGGTCGAATTTCTCACCGCCACTTTGGTCTCCTCCGTCTGGTCAATCCCAATGCTCGATCTCCACCGCCGATTCTGACCCCCTCTCCGCCACTTGGGTTCGCTTCAGGATGGCTTTCGCGAGGTGGGTCGCGACGGGATTCGCGTAGAGAATGAAAAAATCGCATTGCATGGAACTTGGGGTTTTGAACTCAGCCGGTTCATTGCCTCCGTCCGCCGCCATCGAATGCCGATTCCGCTTCCAATCGGCATTCGATTCCTTCTGCATCGCCTCCGAAGCTTTCTATGAGCTGCTGTTGCGTCGTCGTTTTTTGGCCCGATCAACGGCGATTGCTCTCTTCAGCTGAACGAGAGAAAAATACATTTTTCTAATTAAAAATTTTGACCCACTAAATTATATATTAAGAGAAAAAAAAATTATATATATAAAAAAAAAAAAAAAAAAAAAAAAAGTCCTTATCTTTCTGGTAGTTGTTTGGTTCTTGGCAGGAAATGAATTCAGGGGTCCGATTGGTATCGCCAGCAAGCAATGGGAAGTTGCCGGTGGTGAAGCTCCCTGATGAAGAGGCTGATTTTATAGAGAAGGACCCAAGCAATCGATATGTTCGGGTAAATATCACAACTTGCACTTGCAATTTGGATTGGAAATGCTAATGGAATGTGGAAGAATGATTGTGTTCAAGCTGCAATTTTAGTTCTTGTTTGTTTTCGATATCTTCATATGATTTCGATACGTTGAAATTCGTGTAGTAAGTGGTCACATTTGATACAAAGGTTTAATTTATGTTGAATAGATTGTACATTTTGTAAATTTGTTGCTTTTGTTTGGTTGAATAATTAGTTTTGTTTTTTCAAATGAACTGGTATCAGATTGTATCTGTGATTGCAAGATTCTTCATCAGATTGAGCAGCTTGTTTTCGAGCCAATTTTATAGGAAACAAATGAATTGTTATTGTTTGTTAGATATGAGAAGATTGTGTTTCCCCTTTCATTTAGTCATATAATTCTCCTTTAATTCTTTTTTTTTTCTTATTTTCTTGGTAACAGTACAATGAAATCTTGGGTAAGGGTGCCTTCAAGACTGTGTATGGTTCTGAGACCTTTTCTCTTCAGTTTTTTCTCTCTTCCTTCTTGTTTTCCGGATTTCGTTACTTTTAGGAAGAAATTTGATTAAATTCAAGAATTTTATTTTATTTTTTTAAATTTTGGGTACCTCATATTTTTTGCAGCTACAAGGCATTTGATGAAGTTGATGGAATAGAAGTGGCATGGAACCAAGTGAAGATTGATGCTGTCTTGCGATCGCCAGAAGATTTGGAGAAATTGTATTCTGAAGTCCATCTGCTGAAATCGGTGAAACATGACAATATTATTAAGTTCTATAATTCATGGGTGGATGATCAGAAAAATACGATTAACATGATTACGGAGCTCTTCACATCTGGAAGCCTAAGGCGGTATGTTCTATTGATTCCTTCTCATTGTCTTTGGATTGCTTGACTACATTATATGAAATCAAACTAATTGCGCATCTTTTGGTTATAGATATCGTAAGAAGCATAAGAATGTTGATATGAAGGCCATAAGGAACTGGGCAAGGCAGATTCTCGGAGGTTTAGTCTTTCTCCACAGTCATAACCCCCCTATCATTCATAGAGACTTAAAATGTGATAATATTTTCATTAATGGAAATCTTGGAGAAGTTAAAATCGGAGACCTTGGATTGGCAACTGTTATGCAGCAGCCTACTGCTCGCAGTGTGATTGGTAAGAAATCTATGAAACCAGATGTTCTCTCTTGATTAAACCGTCTAAACAAGTACTGAAACTGTTCCTTTTTTTATGTCAGGGACTCCCGAATTTATGGCTCCAGAGCTCTATGAGGAGGAATATAATGAACTTGTTGATGTATACTCCTTCGGAATGTGCATGTTAGAGATGGTTACCTTTGAGTATCCATATTGTGAATGCAAAAGTCCTGCTCAAATATTTAAGAAGGTTACCTCTGTAAGTTGAGGAGTCATCAGAACTATCATCATTTCTTCTGCTGGCTGTATAAAGTAGAACCACTCAGGAATCTTATTTCTTGTATGTTCCTTTGCAGGGCGTTAAACCTGCTGCCCTTGGTAAGGTGAATGACCCCCAAATCAAAAGGTTTATTGAGAAATGTCTGGTTCCAGCATCTGAGAGGCTTTCGGCGAAAGAGCTGCTCAAAGATGCATTCCTTCAAGTTGACAATCCAAAGGAACCAATCCGCGATCCCTTCCAGTTACCTAACCAGAGTCTGAAAGCGACAAATTTACCAAAGTCCGGGCCTCTTTCCATGGACATAGATACTGACTACAAGCAGCTATCTATAAGCACATGTGCAGAAAGCAACAATGGGAGTCCACAGGTTCTGGAATTTCAAAGGGCACATAAGAACAACGAGTTCAGGTTAAGTGGGATAAAAAATGATGACGATTCAGTATCATTAACCTTGCGTATAGCTGATGCATGTGGTGAGTAAGCAAACTGGGAGAGTGGATATCCAAATTTATGTTTAGTATTGTTATTCCTGTCAGGAATGTAATAGCATGACTTTTCTGTATCTTACAGGTAAGGCAAGGAATATACATTTTCTCTTTTACATTGCTAGTGATACAGCAGTGTCTGTGGCGAGCGAGATGGTTGAACAACTGGAATTAACAAATCACGATGTGGCCTTCATTGCTGAGTTTATTGACTACTTGATAATGAAACTTCTACCCGGTTGGAAGCCCTCAATTGATTATTCCTCAAGTGGACCAACGAGTCTTTGTGGCAGATCCCCAGTCTATAGAAATGGAAAACCCTCGTTGTCAAGCCTGTGGGGTTCAGTGCTATCCGGTGCTCCTGCTGGTTCGATGGTAGAGCAAGATGGTAGCTCCTGTGATAAACCTGATACAATCAATTTTAACGGTGGCATTACCTCTTATCCAAGCTTTGCTGATTTTGCCGTTGAACATTCAAAAGTATCGGTTCACTCTGAGGTAATGGTTGATGATGGTTCCACCAAAAACGACCAAGCAGTTGAATCTGTCAATTGCAATACTTCTGAACTCGAGCTGAGGTATTCATATTTAGTTGACAGCAAGTTGCAGAGCGATTACTCTAGCAATGGAGGAGGCTTCCCAGTGAATGGAATCATAAAGAACTTGGAATTTCCATTGCATGAACATGATTTATCGAAAGATATAAGCTTGACAAGCAGCTGTTCTTCACTATCTTTGGCAGATAATGATCTGGATGCCGATTTAAAGTTGGAACTCGAAACGATTGAGGCACAGTACCAGCGGTGGTTCCAGGAACTTTCAAGGATGAGGGAGAAAGCATTGGAAACGACCAGAAAGAGATGGATGGATAAAAAGAAAGTGGCTGTTCACTAATACTGAACCTTCTCGGAACTAAATTTTGTGCTGATATCCTGTTACTTTTGTTTGTTGAGTATGAATGGTATACCGGATTTGTTAATGCATGCTCAACTTCATTTTTGCAGATCGATAATCAGAACCGAAAACATAATGCTTCGGGTTTGTCAGCTCGACCTTCTTGATTACGCAGGTACGAGCTTGCAAACTCGGCTGCACATTAAGTCATTGAATGCTTTGATAAAATTGATGAACGAATGGTCGTTGCAGCAAAAGATAAAACAGAAGAATGTACGAATGAACATTTAAGTATTATTTCCATGCGTTGAAGCAGTTCACAATATCACGCCACAGTTGGCCAAAACTCAAAAATGGAGCAATTAAAAGGGATCAGCAACTCAAAGAACACAAAATTCTCAGACTAAGTGTAATCAACCCATGTGTGTCCGCAATTGTTGTTCATACACCTGTAGAATCTTGTTTCTGGTTCATCGGCAGATCGTGTTTGCTGTGTCCTGTAAGCCGCCTCAGGAAACCCGCATCTTGGGCACGGTTCTGCCAGAGAAGAGAAGAAAAGAGAGAACAAAAAGAAGTCAGACCTCATCTCATGAGATATTTGCAATTGTACAACAATATTTTACAGGCCATTAGCATCAACTGGAGAACAACAAAATGAAGTCAAGAATAACAGTGTCTTATGCTTCGACATCCAAATTTTACTTGGGCGTATGTAATTTATGTTCGACACTTATCATAAAGTTCAATGATTCAATCCAGATTGATACAAACATCATGACAAAAGACAACTACAGCAGATGTGTAGTACAGCCAAGAACAGTACCTCATTCCAGTTAGAGAAAAAATGTTTAGTTTTACCATGCAAAGTTCACGATAACCTAAACCTAAATCCAGTAAACTAATTTAACAAAGAATATTTTCGCTGAATCAATTGTCACACACAAAACAAATTTTGACATCAATTCCCACACCTACAACTGTGTTTGACATCCACTAATTGTGCTAGCTCAAACCTTTTAGAAGATTATGGAATGACTGATTTTGCTATTGTATCTCTCGTCAATATCTCTCATCATTTGTGTCCTCAATCACGGTTATTTTGTTTTTATAGAAATATCAGCTTCTAAATCTAGGATTTCTCTCCAGTCATCACCAATCAGGTTAAGAGACATAACCTGACACAAAGTCAAAAGTCGACTTTCATTTAAATTGATGAAGAAACATGTGCAGCATCTAACAACTTCCCCTCAACCCCAAGGCACAAAAGATACGTCCCATTAGTTTCCAAACTGGATCAGAGATTGTAACCTTTAGCTCTTTAGTCATGAATGCTTATAACCTTCCATACCAGTTATAAACCCGACCAATAACTTTGTTCCGAACATAAAACGGGGCACTCAAGATGAGGAAAAAGTATTTTAATGAGTACTAAGATAACTAAGCCTTTCATGAGACAAGAATCTCAGTCTCACGGATACCTCTATAGAGTATGAACTCCCTCTGATGATGAACCTTGTCCAATCAAAACCTCACAGCTAACCGTAACAAAACCTCACTCACCTTCGCTTTCTAGTGAAAGCATAACCTGGAGAACTGGGTGCTCCACCCAATTCAGAAGCTAAGACCTCAACAATCCCCCTCAAGTGCTTAAGGAAACAGGACAACATGAACAAGAAAAACAACAAAGGAAAATTAGGTAGCCTAACCAATAAGTTTACAGACAAATCCTATCCGGTGTCTGATATATACGCAATTATTCTATTCTAGCAAAAATACCAAACCCCATTCAACCAATGGCATCATTTCACAAGGTTGACATAGCTTTGAGACCACGCAGTGAATTCCAGAGAGGCACCAAGAAACGTAAACAAATGGCAGGATTTATAGACCACAGAAGAACAAAGTAAAAAGCTAGAAAAAGAATGAGCATACTACGAGTACACTGCAGTACTGCAACCTCATTAATAGTACTCAACTGTGAATCAAGAAACGAAACGAATAGAGTATGTTTCTCACTACTTGTAACAAATATTCCTACTTTGATAATTACTAGAACCAAAAGAAAGAGAAAAACATGAAACCCCTTGGGCGGGAAAAATGAAACAAACCTTCAGTTTTGGGCGCATTCTTGTAGTCGTCCAGGGTAAAGATGGGCTGTATCTCTTTTTTAACTAGATGCTGCCTTCTTTTAATCTTCACCTGCAAGCGCAATACGAAAACCAGCTATCACATTACGCATACCCTTCAAAAGGCAAGAAAGAGAACTTAGGATATAATTCAGATGACCAAAAAAAGATGTATATCTTCAGCTGTACCTTCCTATCAACGTATGCTACATAGGGACAAGTTGGACAGAAGAATCTCGCATCGTGCATATTCGGCAGTTCATACTGCAGCATGTTACCACAACCTGGGCAGAACTCCATTTCCTAAAGCCTCTAACCACAAATCTCCCCCTTTCTCTGAAATTATTTTCGATTTCGAGATGTCATTACATTGTGTGTGCTTATAAACTACCATCAACAAATCACATTAACATACAGAAAACTAAAAACACAATTAAACAGTAATTACCATTACGCTATTTTGAATTAAGAATAACAAAAATCAAACAAAAATCAAAAGGTACCCACTTTTCATCAAAAATCCAAACAAAATCAAAATTGGGAAAAGGAGAAGCAGCTCAATCACCCAACGACAATGTGTAAAAGACCCACCGAATCAGATAGAGAGAAAACCCAATTTCAGGGCTCAAAACCCTAGGAAAATAAAAATTAAATTAAACGAAATATTACAAATTACCATACGAGAAATAGTGAGATTAGGATTTGGAGACGTACAGTTGAGGGAGAAGCTTAAAGAATCCGACTTTGCAAGCGAGAGAGGGGAATTGGGGTTTTGCGGGTGTTGCTCTGTAAGACTGAGAGAGAGTGGCAGTGTAAGGTAAATACGGTAGCGGGAGAGCGATTTGGTACGAAGGCGCGCAGCAAAGGGAAAGGGGTAACGTATCAAGGGCTCCTTACAAATCTACCCTTATAAGCTAATATGATGATTTTATTCATTCTGGATTTTTCTATTTTTTAATGCTATTATTTTCATATATTGGATTTTAACATAATTTTTGTTCATTATATAAGAAAATTGTTAAAATCTTTATCATATCATTGAATAATTTTAATTATTTTTATTATAAATGATCTCTGAAATTGATCAAATTCATCATTTTAATCATTCAATTTAAAAGTCGATCAACGTGATTGTTAAATTTGGCCATTGCACAACAATTTGGTCCCTACCTTCTGATTCTGTTAAATTGTCTGTTAATTTTATAATGTGACACATGTGAAACCATACAACCAACGATATTGTGCCAAGTAGATCAAACAAATAAAAATTATTTAAGATTTTAAAAAACATTAATAAAATGTTAAATAATTTTATAAAAATTAAAATTAAAAAAATCTTTGTTTAATCCAATCCACTTGGCGTGTCTCATGAGAATAATCGTGACTTGATCGCTCAAAAGTCAAAACCCCAAAACCCTACCTCACCTTTGACCAAGGTACTAATCAAACCCCCCCCCCCCCTCTCTCTCTCTCTCTCTCTCAAATAATATTGTTTGGAGGAGAAAAATGAAATAGTCTTTTGCTTTTTGCAGTTTTTATTCTGGTGGATGGGCAGTGGACAGGCAGGTAAGAAGCAACAATGCTTTACTGATATGAATTATTTCTTCCAGATTCTTCCTTTTAATTAGGGGTGGATTGGGACACAACACATCTTAAAAGCTTACTTAATTAGAATCCTGTCTTAATCATCCCCATTTGTTTATGCAATATCTCCTCATTTGATAGTTTTATATTATTTATCATCTCAATAATTGATGCCTGGGCTTCAATGGTTTTGTTCAATTGGGTGATTGCTTAATTTTCTGTTGCATGCAGATCAAGATGATCAGCCTTCTTGATGGTTAATATCAAGCTTAATTAGATTTGACTTTAATTTCTTTCTGTTTTGTAACTTTCTTGCTGCAGTTAAAGTTTAATTCGCTGGTATTAAGCAAATTAATCCTCCAATCAATGGGTGATTTATCTGGGCCAAGGCTGTATGGCTGCTACAAGTGCCAGACCCATGTTTGCTGTCATGATGATATTGTCTCTAAAGCATTTCAGGTGATCCAAACGCATGTGCTTTCTCCTCCATACCTCTATACTCTTATGCAGTTTATGGCAACTGTTGTGGCTATTAGGTTATTGCATCAGATTGGATAGTGTGTCATTCAGTCATTGCATTGAAAATTTGGTCTGGAGTTTTACATTTGAGTCCACAGATCATGGATTTCTGTTGTAGAAATGTTTATTTGTCAGAAATATTCTACTACGTTATGTTAACCAAAGTTTGTTACAGAGAAAAGAATTTTGGGTTTCTATAATGTCAATGTTTTCAGGCTACCAATGAGTAGATGAATTATTAGTTAAATGCATCTCGTGGATTAGTGAATTCTAAATAAATGCACGGTTCAAAGAGAGAAACTTACCTACAACATGGATCATTGCGACAGTATCTTAAACCAATTACACACTACCATGCAAGTTAAAATGCATCTCTGTCTTGAGATACCACCACAATGATAACCAAATTGTAGGCAAGTCCTAATAGTTGGATAAGCCTTCTGGGTTAGACCAAGTGATGAGGGTGGGTGGGGAAATAAGTTACGAATTGGCTCTATTAGGTTAGGAGTTATCTCATATAATTTAAACACCATATATATATGGAGTAGTTTGCAAATATTTGAAGATCATTGTGTCATATATATGATATGCTTTGCTTTGTTATGTTAGGCAAGCCGTGGCAGGGGCTTTCTGTTCTCCCATGCAGTGAACGTGGTTGTAGGGCCTAAGGAGGATCGGCATCTGATCACAGGCCTCCACACGGTTGCTGATGTACACTGCTGTGATTGTGGGGAGGTGTTAGGCTGGAAATATGTCAAAGCTTATGAGGAATTGCAGAAGTACAAAGAAGGAAAATTTGTTCTTGAAAAATTTAAGATTGTTAAGATCAATTGGTAGCATAGATACTCAGTTTGCGATGTGGAATTCGTTTTGATTGATTGTTCATAAGTTCTAATCATCGTGTACAAAGAAACTCTTGATTGTCCATTTGGATGGTGGTATCCTTTTGTCAGACGGTTCGGCATATAATGTTTCAATCTTTCAGATTCTCAGTCAGAGTCATAAGTTCGTTTTAATGATTGTATCAATGTGAAAAGATTTTATTCAGAGTCTGACAATATAATATATTAGCTTTCGATTCAAGTTAGGTATTACGTACAAACAAACCATTTGAGAGTTGGAGAATTTGACATTGATATGGACTTGATCCATGAGAAGTTGACAAGAAGAAAATTAGGAAGTTCATCTTATTGACTCCCAATCAAAGGGGCGGTGCTAGGTGCTTTGGTTCTTGATGGGGACGAGAAGATGGTGACTTAGCCTTTGTCCATTCTTATTAACTATCCCCCACCCTTTAGGTATATGAAATTAAAGGAGATGGTGTTACTTATGGATTGATGTTAAATTCAAAATGTCTATTAACTGAGTAGTTTGTCTATTGGAGTGTCTTCTAATCAAGTAATCAATTCTCACTTTATTATGAACATCTTTAATAACTTCAGAGGTAGTTTGATAATCATTTTATTTTTAGTTTTTAGTTTTCATTTTTATATTTGAGATATAGAAAACTCGTATGGAGTGAAATGAGGAATGAAAAATGGTGGTGGGAAAGGGAAAAAGAAATGAAGAGACTGAATAAAAACAAAATCTTGAAAGTGAAAACAACTTATAATGGTTTTTGGTTTTGATTTTTTTGTAGGGGTGTAAATGAGTCAAGCCAAACAAATTATCACAGTACTTAAGCTCAGCTCAAATAATGTTATTCGTGCTCAAGCTCGGAAAAAACTCATAACTGCAAGCTCAAGCTCGGCTCGAATAACTTTTTCAAGCTCGACTGGGTTGTTTGTAAACTAACTAAGGTGCATTCAATTAGGAATTTGAGAGATTTCAATGAATTTATAATCCATGGATTTTTAAGGAGTTTAATTGATTTGTAGATGTGAGATTTGTGGATACTTAAAATACACTTTGAAATATCTCAAATTCCCTCAAATTTCTCAACTTTTTCAAATTCTTTAAAATCAAATTCTACTTGAATACAATTGGAATGTTACAAACTTTTTAAAATCTTAATTGAATACATTCAGATTTTTAAGGATTTTAATAAACTATTTTAAAATTTTGATTGAATACACCTTGAATTTCAAATAATAACTTAAAACTCTAATTAAATACCCTAAATTCATTAAAATAATTAAAGTCCCTTCACGATTCCAATTGAATACGCCCCTATAAATATTAGCTTTTGATTTGCTTTGCTCACTACATTCCTTAAACAAGATCAAGCTTATGTATGGTCGGGCTTTATTTTCATTAAAGCCTAATAAAATACATATAATAACAAAGTTCATGGAAAGGATCCTTCCTCATAATACATCAAGTTCAGAGATTCGGACCATTAAAATTTAATCAAATGACTAAAGTTATTATAATTTTTAAAATGGGGTCTTGTTTGTAGCGGTTGAATCAAATTTCAATGGTTCGGATCCCCGAACTTGGTGGATTAGAAGGAATGAATCCGGAGATGATCCATTTCCTAACTTTAACGATTGAACACTTTATATTTTACATTGGTATTTAGAGTTCGACTTTCGCACTATACTTCGGAACCGGATCCTTTCCGGATCCAATAAAACTGAGCATGCTGAGCAGGCGATCCGAACCGTTGAAATTTGATCAAATGACTACAAACAGGGGGCCTCTAAAAGTTATAATAATTTAATCTTTTGATCAAATTTCAACGGCATGGATCACCTGCTCAGCAAACTCAGTATATATGAATCCGGAGGGGATCCCGTTCCCTATACTTCGAATATAAAAAAACACTCACCTCCTACCGTTCCTCCTTTGTCACTCTTACCGACCTATGGGGTTGTGCTTAATGCTCTGAGGTCGGGTACCCTTTACTTTATTCTCTCTGTTGACTTTCGCTAGTGAGAAGATCAAAAGAAATAAATAATTGGACGGCAGATATTTGTTATTGACAGATCAAAGTAGAAGAATCCAAAACCAATCAAATTTACAAGAGAGTAAAGGAAGCTTCATAGAAGCAAGCCAAAGCTCACGGACAATTGCACCAAAATAAAAAATAAAAAAATGGCTCACGACTATTTTTGAAGATTACGTTTTAAGCCACAAAGGTCCCTCTTCCCCCACCACAAAGAACCTTCCTAGAAAATTCGAGGAAAAAAAGTATAGACCTCAAAAAATTAAAAATAAAAATAGAAATCAAGATGAGATGATCACAATGGATATCAAGATGTTGCACCACAATTGACTTCGGAATTTCAAATAGTTTTAGGCCGTTCACATGTCTTGTTACTTGTTGAATCAACCGTCCATTTGATCTACTTTCAACATCATAGGTTGCAAACGTTCTTCTGTATGACTCTTACATTGTCGGGTTGTGTTACAAACTAACAGTTCTTTAATATTTTAAAATATGATACACTTATTGTCTATATTATAACAAGTGAATTAGCAACATTATATGACAATATTACGGTTACACCTGAATTTTTTTTTTCTTCCAATTTTTATTAATAGGGGCTGAACTCATAGCCTAGGAATCTACCATATCACTAAATTCCACACACAAAATGATATGTTGATTTTAACTGCTACGTAAAAAGCAAAGAGACTTTCCATTGCTTATAAAAGGCATTAAGCTAAAGCATTATATATGCTTTCAATCTTGACAGTTCTACAAAGTCCTACTGCTATTTGTTGTTGCATCACATTTTCCACTAGCTATAACCACATTAGAAATACAAACCATGGAAAACAATGGCACCACCACAAGGAAGTCCGCAGCAGCAACTGAATACCAAGACTTGCTGCCAGTCATGGCAGAGAAGCTGGACGTGGAGACTTTCGTGTCCGAACTATGTGGAGGTTTCCGGCTTCTGGCGGACCCCGAGTGGGGTTTGATCACGTCGGAGAGCCTGAAGAAGAATTCGGCGCTTCTCGGGATGGAGGGGATGAGCAAGGAGGATGCTGAAGGTATGGTTAGGGAAGGAGATCTTGATGGAGATGGTGCGCTCAGTGAGACTGAGTTTTGTATACTGATGGTGAGGCTTAGTCCTGGGATTATGGAAGATGCTGAGACATGGCTTGAAAAAGCACTTGATCAAGAATCCAACAAGTCATCTGATCAACTTTGATGTTGTAGAATAATTGTGGTGGCTCTTGTTATGAAAAAATTGGTCAAAATGATTTTTTTATAAATCTCGATTGCTGAAATGATACGATTTTTAATATGTCGTCGATATTTGATCATTTTGTCGATTAATATGTTGTCGCTATATAATTTCGATCAGTTAAAAGACTGAAACTTAATTTCAGATCATTTTAGCCAATTTTCTGTTGATAACTGAAGTACCACAGAGGAATAGTTTAGAGAGAGATAGAGGGAGGGAGGACTGGTCTGCAAACAAATTAAGGGAATAGAAACTGAAACTGGAGTAAATTAATGACACAAGTTAACATTAAAAAGAAGGAAAAAAAAACAGAAAAAACAAGACCAAAGCAGTTAAAAACTTACAAACACCACGGTAACATCTGCCAATTATCACAAAACAACAAAAAAGATAGAAAAAACAAATTAAATTCTATGAAGCATACTTGAACTAAAAATGTGAACTTGGGCCATAAAATTAAATTATCTACAAATCCCAACAACGAAAAGACTTGCAAGTTACTCGCAGCTGTTCGCGTCAGGAATTTCCGTCGGGGATGTCTCCTGGCCGACGAGCACATAGCTCCCCTGGAGGTTGGCGCCGGTTTGAGGGCTGCTGTCGGGCTTCTGCTTCGCTGTCGGGCGTTGTCGGGCAAGACTCTTCGGGCAAGGCTGAAAGAGAAGGACAGCGTTAACTTTGAGAGGTGCCTTTGTGGGGCCTTAGGTGTAGGCCTTGAGGCTCACAATCAAGGTTAACATTTAGGTGCTCAGGCGTGCCACTGCCATCTTTAGCATGGCAGATGTAAAATGGATATCGCTTTAGTTGCATGTACGTATGTATCCAAGAAACCGTATTAGTTATAACAGGTGCCTTTGTGGGGCCTTAGGTGTAGGCCTTGAGGCTTCCCATCAATAACTAAACCGATGCTTGAACACATCATATTTGTTCTCGTGATTGCCGGAGTTTTCTAACTATTTATACTTCTGATTACCCGAGTCTAAGAAGTAGAATGAACCCAAATAGGTGCCTTTGTGGGGCCTTAGATGTAGGCCTTGAGGCTTCCTATCAGAGTTCATTCCTATACTTAGACTCTTTAGATCGCTGAACGGAATGAATCCAAATGGATGCCTTTGTGGGGCCTTAGGTGTAGGCCTTGAGGCTTTCCATTAGAATCCATTCCATGCTCAAGCTTTCTATAGTAATCATGATATAATAGAAGGAAAACTAGAGGGTAGGTTGATTACTTGCGCCCCAAGTAACTTCGGACTTCTCGTTTATCAAGGACTGTCGTGGATGGGTTAAGTCCACATAAGGTTCTTTTTATGCCTTGAGGCCAAGGACTTTTAACTGATCAGATCTACATGCCCGAGGGCTTAGGACTTGGATCTGGTTTGAACACTGACGATATATTCAAATCGGATTCAAGTACTGAGAAAGCCTTTTAATAGTCATATTGCTAGAAATAACTTGCATATAACTGGAAGTATACAACATATTGAAAAGACAAAAACAAAGCAAAGAAGGTCGGGCAAGGTTAAACCTTATCAGGTAAGGTTGCTCGTCTTGCAGGTTCCTATCTTTGTAGTTTTGTCAAAGGTCTGAAAGCTTAGAGGGAGAGAGAGATATTACAAAAAAAATGAATCGATACTACAGCAAGGTTGAACAAGGTAGCAGAGCTATTACAAAGGGTTGAAGAGAGGGTTATCCCGAGGGGGATGAAGGCTTGTCCCGAAAATGATGAAGGCTTACTACAGCTTTGTTTTGAAGGCAAATCTGGTTTTGAGCAGAGTTTTTGCTTTTGTTTGTTTGTTTGAGTGTCCTTATTCATGGTTTCTCCTTCTTCTTATATAGACAACTCGGCTTGGCTCCTTGTAGCAGCAGCCTTGCCCGAATGCGGTTTGAGGGTGATGACCCATCGACTTTTTTACATGGACTGCCATCATAAAGTACTTTATGGGTTGTGTAGCTGATCAGTCTATACCACTTGGCCTTTGGGTAGGTAAGCAAGTGGTCTTCATGAGCTGCACCAAGTCAGAAAAGGCCATTTTCTGCCTTCTGGGCTTCGACTATCTTCCCTTTGGGCCTTCTTTCGGGCCAGCTCCTTTCTTGAGCCCAAAGTTAACTTTTAATCCAAACAGTGCCCCCTTCAATCAATGCTAAGGTTGGAATCCCAGGCACCATCATTGATTGAATACCCGCATGCGTGCATCTCAATCTTTTGGAACTTCGTGTTTTCTAGACAGGATGAAGGCAACCCCGTGCCCCTTGCTCTTCTCACGACCTTTGAACTATCCCCTGGGGCTCTATAAAATCTGGCTCGAAATCTCTTCTGTCAAGCCATCAAATTTTCTTCAGCATTTCCCCCATCATCTTCGAGCGTTCAGAAACCGAGCAATGGGTTCCTTAGGCTTTGAGTGGGATTTCCTAAAACTCCATTTTCGTGAGAAAAAGGGCTTTCCTCAAAAGACCTCACTGTCTCCAACACCCTTGGTCGAACACCTCATTATCTCCAACACCCTTGGTCAGACGGTTTCCTCTCGCATGCTCGTCTTCCCACTTGTTGCGGTGATAAATCAGGCTTGACCATCACCTACGGCGATGGTCATGTCTGAGGATCCTCTACCAGGCCCATGTTGGCCGCACAACCCGATCATCTAATCCGGTTCCATCCATGAAGACATCGGAAAATCAGCTGAAGATCCCATAACACCTAGAAAGATATTTGACTGTAATGCGTTGGCTTTAGATCTTTTTGTAAATCTTATCAATTTGTCGAAATGAAACATATATTATCTCAGCAACTCTTGTCTTTCCATCTTCTTGAATGATTGATAAATATATACTGCACATTGATATCCCGAAGCTTGCTTTACCTTGCATCTCCTTCGATATAACAGTCTCTGACATCCCACAACGTAGGACAATATTTCTTTAAGAATCTAACATTAATGGGATGTCTATGCCTGTTTCCCTCAAGGTCCGCCAGTAGTATCCCCCTCTATCCAAAACGCGACTAATAATGAAATGACCTTCCCATGTCGGGCTCCATTTTCCAAAGCCCTTGAGCTGAGCTCCTAGAGGGAGGACGGTCTTCCATACTAAGTCTCCCTCCTTGAAGGATTTCATCTTCACCTTTTTGTTATAAGCTCGGGCAACGACTCGCTTTCCTTCTTGAATCTGGTTCAAAGCTTCAATTCGGGCGGCATCCAAGTCTTCAATTCCTTGACACATGGCCTCGACATACTCCTCACTATGCAATCCAAATTGATTTTGAATTCTTAAAGAACTCACATTGATTTCCACGGGGAGCACTGCATCTTGCCCGAAAGTTAAAGCATAAGAAGTTGTCCCTGTTCCTGCTCTCTTAGAAGTTCTGTATGCCCACAAAGTGTTCCCCAGATTTTCATGCCATTTTTCTGGGCTATCAATCACCATTCTCTTGATAATGTTGACCAGGATCTTGTTGCTGGCTTCTGCCTGGCCATTAGATTGCGGGTAGTATGGACTGGACTGGATCATCTTTATTTTGTACTTACTTGCAAACTCCTCAACTTCTTTTGAAATAAAAGATGGTCCACGATCCATCACAATAGTTTCGGGCACCCCATATCTGTGCAGGATTTTGGTTTCGATAAAATTCTTGACCGTGGCTGAAGTTATGGATTTTACTGCTGATGCTTCCACCCACTTGGTAAAGTAATTCGTTGCTACAATTACAAAGGTATGTCTTTTGCTAGAAGCTGGATAGATTTGCCCGATGAAGTCCATTGCCCATCCTCTGAAGGGCCAAGGCTTGACCACTGGATTTAAAGGCACTGAGGGCACATGCTGGAGAGGTCCGTGCCTCTGACATTCTTCACATCCTCGGGCATAAGACTTACAATCTTTTTCCATGTCGGGCCAGAAATAACCATACCTCCTAAGCAACCATCTCATCTTCGTTCCAGCCTGATGTGCTCCACATACTCCTTCATGTACTTCGGCCATTACCCTCATGGATTCTTCTTGGCCCAAGCATTTCAACAGTAACCTATTTGGAGTTTTCCTTAGCAAGTTCTTCGCCCATAAGACATACTTGGTTGCTTGCTGTCTATCCTTCTTGCTTGTAGGCGAGGAAGGATCCTTCAAATGATGAATAATAGGTGACCTCCAATCTTCTATCTCGGCCTCTAGCACCATTATATCTAGACTGAATCCCCTTTCTAAGATGGAATGGAGGTTTCTTCTTTGGATCTCGACATCTACCCCATATTTCCTCTCCTGTATTGGCACTCCTGAGGCTAGTTGTGCCATCTCGTTGGCCGCTAAATTGGAATCCTTGGGAACATGATTGACCGATATCTCAGAATCCCAGAAATTCAATAATTGCATAGCTGCCAAGTAATACCCCGCCATGGTAATATGTCTGCACTTGAACTCCCCATTTAACTGGTTTATTACCAACTCTGAATCCCTAAAGACTTCCACCTCTACTGCCCCTAGATCCATCAAGATTTCCAGGCCAATAATCAAGGCCTTATACTCTGCCCGATTATTAGTATTCCCTTGGTAGTCCAAGAGAAATGAATAATAATGATAAACTCCCTGAGGGTTTACAATTACAATTCCTGCTCCTGAAGCCTTCTGAGTGTGGGATCCATCGAAATACAACTTCCAAGGAGTGATCCAGAGACCAGCCACTCTTCTTATCTCTTGCTGGACCCAGTCTTCTTTGCCTGAAATATCTTTTCTCGGCGGGATCCAAATGCTAGTAACCTCTAAGCTTCCCGGGATATTGATCGCCTCACTTGAAGATTCTTGATGCTCGGTCAGGAAGTCCGCAATTGCTTGACCTTTGACTGCCTTTTGGGGTACGTACTGAAAACTGAATTCCGATAAAGCTAGAATCCATTTCCCAATCCTTCCTGTGAGCATTGGCTTTGTCAACATGTACTTTATCACATCTGTCTTGGCGATGATCTGCACGTGACAAGGTAACATGTAATGCCTTAATTTACTGGCAGTGAAATATAAAGCCAAGCATAATCTCTCTACCGGGGAATACCTTGTTTCTACCTCGGTCAGAATTCTACTGAGGTAGTACACTGCCTGCTCCTTCTCGCCTTCATTATTTTGGGCTAGCAAGCTCTCGATTGACTTTTCAGAGGCAGAAATATACAGTTTCAAGGGTTTTCCCCTTTGAGGTGGCACCAACACTGGTGGAGAAGTTAAATAGGCCTTGATGCTGTCAAAGGCCTGTTGGTGTGGTGGTCCCCATTCAAATTTCTCTTTATCTTTCAACCTTAGTAAAGGAGTCAGCGGCTGGATCTTGCCTGCTAAATTAGCAATGAATCTCCTCAAAAAGTTAATTTTGCCCAGTAACCTCTGGAGTTGCACCTTGTTGGTAGGTGAAGGTGACTCCATTATTGCCCGAGATTTGTTCTTATCCACTTCTACACCTCTTTGATGCACCAGGAATCCCAAGAAGTTGCCCGCTCTTACTCCAAACGCACACTTCTTTGGATTCATCTTCAATTTGTGGATCCTCATCCTTGCTAATGTCTGTCTGAGATCTTCCAGATGTTGTTCTCTGTCTTGGACTTTACCACTATGTCATCTATGTATACCTCCATGCTCTGGCCAATTAGATCATGAAAGATGGCATTCATTGCCCTCTGGTAAGTTGCACTAGCGTTCTTGAGCCCGAATGGCATGACCAAATATTCATATGCCCCCACATGACCGGGACACCTAAAAGCTGTTTTATGTATATCTTCTGGAGCCATTTTTATCTGATTATACCCGGCATTCCCATCCATAAAAGATAGGACTTTATGTTTTGCTACTGTATCTATGGATAAATTGGCCATGGGCATGGGATATTCATCTTTTGGTGTAGCGCCATTAATATTTCTGTAATCTACACAACATCGTACCGCTTTTGTTACAGCTTTTAAAACGGGTACGATGTTGGCCAACCACTCCACATATTTGGATGGTCTGATAAAACCAGCTTTCACTAGCCTTTCAATCTCTTCTTTGACCTTTTCTTCTATCTCCTTTGACATCCTTCGTGGTGCTTGCTTGACAGGTTTATATCCCTCCTTGATAGGCATTCTATGTTCCACCAAGGTTGGATCTAACCCTGGCATCTCGGTATAATGCCAAGCAAAACAGTCTTTGAATTCTTGCAAAAGACAACAATCCTTGCCCGATGATCAACCCCCATTAAACCACTGATCTGTATTGGTCTCGGATCCTCCTCTGTTCCTAAATTAATAACTTCCAGAGGATCCTGGACTTCTGGTGGTGGCTTATCCGGTTATGTACACAAAAACTCTACCAGCTTCAGGCTCTCAGGCAAGTCGTCTGGCCCGTTTAGATCATATATGCACTCGGCCATTTGAATGGCCCTATCCAGCTCTTCTCTGCAAGATTCCTCCTTGCTTTCATGCTGGCTGGTTGAAGTTCCCACCTGTCATTCCTGTTCTTCTCTGTCCAAGAGCTCGTTTTTTTGCCTTCTTCCCTTCCCATACACCAACAGTCTTTTAATTTTGACTGCCCTTACCTGATCTCCTCTCTTTTGTTCAGTCATTGATGATGTAGGGGATTTGGGAGGATACAAGGTCTATCCCACTCATCTCTAGTAAGGAGCATTCCTTGTTCCAAAAGCTTTTGGGCCGTCACCTTGGTAGGGCGGCCGTTCTCGCCAGCTCCTGAACACTTCAAGATTCCTACATTGGGGTTTTAGAAACTTGCTTCCTTCCAACAATTGGCTGTGTGGAGAAATGGCCGCTGATTCCGTGCCGTTCGCCTCTACCATCTCCCAAAAACCTGGTCCTTCTATGCCTGCTTCATGATAAACAGCCACTTGTTGATGAAGAGTAGAGAGGTATGACCAAGCCTTGGTGGATCCAATCTCTTCCGAGTAAGGCCCCATAAGTGGGTGGAAGTGCAGTCCACCACAAAGAATGCCAGCATTATCTCTTTTAGATATTCCAGATCCACTTCTAGAGGCAATATCCCATGAGTCTTAGTGATAGCGCTGAGAAGCTAGAGACTGTGAGGTCTGTGGGAATAAGATCCTCCATGCCTCTTCCCATTTTCTTCATCTGCTTGGCTGGTAACACATTAACAGCTGCTCCTCCATCAATTAGATTATTGAATTCTTTTGAAGGGCACACCTTCTAGGTGAGCTGTAACGTATATGGGTTTCAGATGATTGGCCAACGAGCTGTTTCGGGGCGGCTAAACACCCACTCATCTGGTCTCATCTGTGTAAATCCTTAGAGGACCGCCTTTGGATGCTTCTTGAAGATTCATCAGCCTTGCTTGCCGAGAGCTTTCTTCTTCAACTACCTCTACATTGACATTATGTGCCATCATTGGCTCAGTTGTCAAGTAATCACCCTCCATAGTAGCGGGTTGATCAGGTCTGGCACCAAACGTGGCACAGAACACATATGTCATGTTGATATGGAAATTACTAGGCTCGGGCGGATCTTCTTTATTGCCCTCAATCTGGTCCATAAATTCATCCAACCAGGCCATCGCATCAGCTGGAAGTAATGGTTCATGGTTCTGGTGCCCCCTCCAGTTGCTGTTGGTTCAAGTCCGTATACAGTGTTTGTTTTGGAACTTCACCAAAATGATCCACCAAGGGCAGAGAAGGAAGTCTTTTTTCAGATGAAATAGTTCCAAAGCAAATAGGCTCTGGCTTCCATCCAGGGGTTGGTACCATGATTAGATCTTCTTGAGCTCTCCTCAATATCCTATACTTCCCAGGATGTTGGCTCTGCGGCACGTGATCCCCCTCGCCTTCTGTCTTGCTGTTGGCCTTTTCCACCTCTTTCTTACTTCTCCAACGGAGCTGACTACTTCCCCCAGATGCTGTTTTCTTCAACTTGTGATTTTTGGAGGATTCAGATGTTGTGGGGGTCTTCAAGGCATTCATGTAGGCTTTGTGCTGCCTTTGAACCCTCCTGACCATGGAGGCTCCCATTGGTTTGGTAGGCTGTCCGTTCTTCCCGACTACGTACCATTTTCGCCCGCGGTGGGCAGGATGCTCTTCTCTAACAGGATTGGTCATACCATCAATCCTCTTGATTTCCCTCCCCATCTGGCCATTTTGAGGATGATCTGTACCCCTTTGTATTTTGGCCTCCATATCTTATGCTTCTTCAGAAACTTCATGGTTTCGAAATACTTCTGACAAAGCTTTGGGTTGGGAATCACCTCCTAGTCGTTGAAAAACGCTTCGAGAAGTGTCCTTTTTTGTTGCCTGCTTAATCTTTTCGCGGGCTTCTCTTCTGACATCTTCTTCCTTTCTCCTGATTAGTTCACGGTCAATGAGGACTCCAGCCGGGGGAATTTCGAGCTCACACTCGCATTGGCACTTACTGCACATAACCATCCGCCTTAAATCGATCATGAGCCTGATGTTCGTTGTATTCAACGAGAGAGCATCTATTTCGGCATGGTGTTGATCGCTAATTAGCGCCTCTCTCCTTAATCGCATGTAGTGTTCTTTGTTCTATATCCAACATATACTCGATCTCTTCTGGCTACCTCCCATGTTGAGATCAACAATTTTTCGCGATCCAATTCTTTCGCCCCTTTACTCACAATGTGGTCGCCTAATGTCATATTGAGGTCTCTTAATATCATACAGGTGCTATACTCTGACAAAAAGGCAGGAAATCTCCGTCAAGTTATATGACCACAGGTTTGTTATCCACTAACTATTTTACAGGAGCGAGACTTTGGTTTTTAAAGTCATCTTTCCCTCGAGAGAGGAACCAAGCAGGTATATGTTTCTGTATAGTCCCTAAATAGCCGTGTGGAAGCTCCTCCCAACCTTGCAAACATTTTGTAGTAACGTGGTTTGTAAACCTTCTAATGTGAGGCAGTTTGCACATAATTATTCTTCTACAGTAGACATGGTATAAGGAGGAGGTGCGAACTAAGAGACAAATTCCAAACAACGGGCGTGCAATATAACTAACACCATATATTTTGATCGAATCATGGTCGTAATTGGAGAAAGATATAGTGTAATTATGTTCTGTCGAGGGGGAATTTGTACATACTTGTATCGGTCCCATTTGTATTATGAGAATGACATACTAGCTAGCTTCTCACACCTTACTTTGGACGGCTATTGGGCTTGGCCGAGGTTTTGAAAAGGCTGCTGATCTGATTTGTGGTTGTACTTTCCTCCATGCTTAATATGCTGGAGTCTGTGACATAGTGAGCGTGGGAAACTCATAGCACTGAGTTTTGATACTGGGGCTGAATAGTACTGTCTACAGTGAGGAGCAAACCGATACCTATCGGGTTGAAAGGACTCTGCGGGGCGAAAGGGCTGAGACAAATATGATGAAGGGATCTGCTGCTTAGCATTTCTTAATAAAAAGAAGAACTACAAACGGTTGCGTACCTGTCTTGTGTGCTGGTAGGAAGTCATTAGTGCAGGTAGGCCTTTAGAGAGAAGAGTCTCATTATCGTAATACAAGACAGAATTTAGAGCGTACAATTTTGAAGTGTATATACATGTCTATAGTTTAATAGTGGTTGTGCAGCACAGTTATGAAGCACAGACACTGTTGTTTTAGCAATGCAGATGTAAAATGGATATCCGTAAACTTTTAAGTTGTGATAGAGCGCTAGTATGAATATGTATATGTATTAGATATCCAAAAAAGATGAGAAAACCAAGTGGGGTTAACAGTTTGTTAGAACAGGTGGGCCGTGTTGGTTGAGCGAATGCCTTAAGGTGGTAGCAGCACGTCGGTTAGAGGAGAGGTTGTGCCTTCGTCCAAGTGTACCCATAACCGGATGCTATGTAACACATCAATATTTGTGTTCTCGTGAATAAGTGAAGTAAGTTTTTGAGGATCGAGAAAGAGGAGAATTTAATATTCTCTAAAACAGTGATTAGCCTACGTAACAAATTTACTTAGATTATAACATAACACGAAAAAAAGTCTAAAAGATAACATAAGCATATCTGAATGTAAGCGGCAAGACAAATATGTAGTGAGTTCATACTGTTTGTGGGGCCATTTAGATTTATTAAGAAGTACCCCTTGAGGTCTTTACCTATCAGTCAAACTGTATTTCACATTCCTATGTAAAAAATGGAATTAGCCTTTATGATATTCTCTTACTGTGAATGTAAAGTCGGGACGAGAAATCCTATATGATATATATATTCAGAGAATGATAAAAATCCAAAAATAGAGAAAGATAAATACATGTTAATTTTATCTGAGGAGGTGGTCTCTTTTTAAGTGAGTAATAAAGAGTCTATGAGGCTTTCCATTAGAATCAATAAACATATACCGCGCTCTAGTGCATTCCAAGGTTTTAAACACAGTCTACCATTACTCACATAGTAATCTCAATGTTTCTGATCTATAATA